TCTCTCTCTCTCTCTCTCTCTCTCTCTCTCTCTCCGAACTCTGCTAACCTCCTCGGCGCTGAACTCCTCCAGCGCTGTGCCACGATGGTGAAGAACAGCGCAGCCGGCAGCCTCAAAATAGCGCAGCCGGCCGTCTCAAAAATAGCGCAGCAGCTCCAACATAGCGCAGCGGGCGAAATCCTGAACCAGTGTAATGCTGGGTTTCTCCTTGTGTCTTCTGTCCAGAACTGGGCGCTGGCCCAGCTTAAGTAGCGCTGGGCCACGGCCTTCGTTCTGGACCGTGTAGATCTAAATCCGATCCACGGTGCAGATCGCAGGCTTCGGACTTGGTTCAGTCCTTGGCCTAAAACGGCCTGCCTGGGTCCCTACCGGACGTCCAGGCCCTGCCCAGGACTGGGCCTGTTCGGTACCTGGTCCGATTCAGGGCCTGTGCGAATGCATCGGGCCTGAACGTCGGTCCAGGTCCGAATGGTCCAAAATCTGTACGAAAACAAAAAAAAGGTCCAAACGTTTTTAGAGGCTCAGCCTCTGGGCCTGAATCTGGCCCTGGCCCTAAGAYGTGTACCTGGCCACAAAACGGACAACATCCCACACGTTAGAAAAACAGCAGCAATAAATAAATAAAAGAATATAAAAATAATCTAAAGCTGGCGTTTTTCTGATGCAGGCCCAAGTAAAAATGCCATAGGGCCTTCAGGTTGCGGTGACGCGACCTGGGGGCCCTATTCCAACCTCGGGTCCCGTGAGGGGCCCGTGTGTAGGCTCTCACCATGTAACAGTTGTGCTAAATAGTCGGCATATGTACAGAGTGCCTGTAACACTATTAGGGGGACGGTAGTGTTTCAGATGCCTGCATCTGTGTTTTTGACTAGTGATGGACATTCATCGGGTGACTTTCTGTTCTGCTATTTATACCCCTCCGAGCGTGTGTTTGGTATCTTGGCTCCCTGTCATGCCCTTGGAGATGATTGGTTATCGGCGCCAATCGAAACATATCGGGCTCTGCCAATGCATGCTTTCTTAGGGTGATATGGGCGTCTGACAGCACCTTCGGCGCTTTGATGTCTGATCACTTGCACGGGAGCACAGTTATGAGTTTCACGAAGATTCTTTAAGTTTATCACTTGGGTTTCAAGATACTTACCTGCACTCGCGTTTGCTCGTGTCTGCTTCTCAAGCTGTCGTTCCGCTCCTTGGTTATTCATGCTGTTTCTCCCCTTCCTCCTTCCTTCCTTCCTCTTATCCTCCTCTTGCCCTCCTTCCGTTTGCTCATGTTTTACTCCTTGGTCTCTGCGCTGTTTTCTTCCCTTCCTCCTCCTTTCCTTCTCCTTTCCTCCCCTCGCCTTCCTTCTTCCTTCTCCTTCCCCTTCCCCTTCTCTCTCCCCTCCCCTTCCCTGTCTTCCTCTCGCCTTTCTTCCCTGTCTCTGTGCTACCGTCCTACTCCTCGTCTGTGTTGTCGTACCTTGTACAAGACTACTAATGGGTCCGGGTTCAGTTATTGCCGTGTTCCAGTGTGTCGGTTGTGAAAAAATGGAATGGCTGATACCTTTCTGTGGTTTCTTGACTCTCTCATTTTCTGGCTACGTGTTTTGTGCATATTTGCTGAAGTGTCGTATGGAACTCTCCATATGCTATTGCTAAGTCCGGTGAAGATGAAAATAGGCTATCCAGACATCCTCGACACGGTCCTTTTTAATCAATTCTCCTAAGCCCTCCTACCTTGTCTGTCGTGCAACTTTCGCTACCATGCTCTGACCCATATCTTGATGGGGTGTGAACCAACAGTCCGTTGGGTTTTCCATATGTGTCCTCTTTGTCACTTGCGACGTCCCTGGGTTCCATGTTGCTGCGTGTTTCTTGTTTTGGTGTCCTGCCTGCCTGCTTGTTTGCCTTGCCGTCTCTTGTCTTGATCCCTTACTTCTCACTGTGCTGCTTAACTGCTTATATTACCTAGCTGCTTGCCTTGCTGCCTTGCTGCTTGCCCTGCCTTGTTGTTTGTCCTGCCTCGCTGCCTTGTTCCCTTGCCACTCGCCGCGCTGCCTTGGTACCTTGGTGCCTTGTTCCCTTGCCTTGCAGCCTTCGGGTCTTGCCGCCTGGTTCCTGGCTGCCTTGCTGCCTTGCTGCTTGCTGCCCCCTGTGTAATGAACCCAGATCGTGAGAACAAGTACAGAGAAATGTCAACAGCTGATGAGTACCAATAATCAAGATCGGGTCCAGACAGAATGAGACGAGATATCATACACAGACGAAGAAGAGAGGAGGGAGATTAGACAAAGGAGAGGAAAATAACATGCCCACTCCTGCTTCGGGCTCCCTCCTCCAGCACCACTTCAATAATCAACAGTCTGCACGAATATCTGAAGTAACCTCAAGGTGCCGCAGGGCACATCTAATTAGTTCCTCATCTGCTCTGGAGCAATGTTGACATGAAGACCACCAGGTACGTATTTCGGTCTCTCCACAGTCCTGATCTTACTCTCCCTCACAACCAGTCACCTCATGTAAGTAGTGTGGACAATGCCACATCAGCAGATGAGACAGGTGGCATAAGCCACATCATCAATGAAGACCAAGAACAGCGCCACGTATACAAGAGCAGCGCCGCATCATCATACTAAGTAGACCATAGGCAGCGCCACATGTACCAGAGGCAGCGCCACGTCAGCATGCCACGTAGACCATAGGCAGCGCCACATNATACCAAAGGCAGCGCCACATGTACC